CCCCCGGTCAGGGGGCCGCCCCTCTGCGGGGGCGCTCGGTTCTTGCGCCAGTTCGGGGGTCTTCTCCGGTAGAGCCGCGCAGTGTACTGCTCTACCTGGGTTCTGGTTCCCGGGAGACGAGGAGGAAACGCTGACGGACGCCTGGCTGGCTCAGTGGGTGGAGCCTGGGACTCTCGATCTCGGGGTGAGTTCGAGCCCCCGCTGGGCGTCGGGATTGCTAGGAGGGGTAAACCTTAAGAGAAAGAAAGGAGGACACACTGAAACACTGATGTTCTTAACAGCGTTACATTGTAGTTTTCTGGCTACGGAGATTGAAGGCTGGAGAAACTCCTCTCTTTGAAAGTGTGACTGCATTAATTTTCTCATGGATCTTTGAGGTTTCTCGTGCCATTTACCAATTAAGTAAAATAATTTCAATTTTTTTCTTAGTCTAAAGGATGACGCTTTAAGCCTGCGGTAACAAAGTAATTTAATCTTCCACCCTCTACCCTAGGCACCCCCCCCCCAAACACCCCACTGGCTCTCAGAAAATAATACCTAGCCCTTTGGTTTCCCTGGCGTGTGACATGCGATTACAAATTCTCTTCTTAGTCTTCAGCAGGACGTGACCGTGATGATCTGAATTTTTGTCTTCCAGCTTTACCGTGAGGATGAGGGGGAGCTCCCTCGCTGAACAGACTCTTTAAGAAGACTACTTGTATGCACATAGAATTTACTGCCTTTCATCAGAAGATGAACCCCACTAATCCTTTTAGTGGGCAGCAGCCTGGGGTTTTCCCAGCATCTACCAGTGGTTCCATAGGAACATTTCAGGCTAAGCCACCATTTCGATTTGGTCAGCCTTCTCCTTTTGGTCAAAATAATACGTTATCTGGGAAAACCTCAGGATTTTCACAGGTAGCCAGCTTTCCTACATCTTCTGGAGTAAGTCCTTCTTCTTCAGCACAAACATTAGGATTCTCCCAAACCTCAAATGTTGGACTCTTTTCTGGACTTGAACACACTCCAGCTTTTGTAGCTGCCTCTGGGTCTTCAAGTTCATGTGTGCCTGCAAACCCAGGATTTAGTTTTAAATCACCCAATTTTGGGGCTTTCCCAAGTACTTCTACGTTTGGACCAGAAACTGGGGAAATAGCAAGCTCTGGTTTTGCGAAAACAGAGTTTAGCTTTAAGCCTCTGGAAAATTCCGTGTTTAGACCAATATTTGGGGCTGAATCTGAGCCAGAGAAAACTCAGAGCCCAATTACTTCTGGATTTTTCACATTTTCTCACCCAATTAGTAGTGGGCCTGGAGGACTGGCTCCATTTTCTTTTCCTCAGGTGACAAGCAGTTCAGCTGCCAATTCAAACTTTACCTTTTCAAAACCAGTCAATAGTAATAATTCATCATCTGCCTTTACCTCTGCTTTGTCAAACCAAAATGAGGAAGAGAAGAGGGCCTCTAAGTCACTATTTGGAAGTTCTAATAGTAGCTTCACTAACTTCCCCATATCTTCAGGGCCTCTGGGTGAACCATTCCCAGTTAGCAAAACAGGTGTGAGACAAGGATGTGAAGAACGTGTTTCCCAAATGGAGCCACTTCCCAGCCTCATGAAAGGACTGAAAAGGAAAGAGGACCAGGATCGCTCCCCAAGGAGACATGGCCATGATGCAGCCGAAGACTTGGATGCTCCGTCGAGGGGAGATCATCCTCCAGATAAACGACCTGTCCGCCTGAATCGACCCCGGGGAGGCACCTTGTTTGGTCGAACGATACAAGATGTCTTCAAAAGCAATAAAGAAGTAGGTCGTCTGGGCAATAAGGAATCTAAAAAGGATATGGGCTGTGCCGAATCTGGGGAAAATGACCACATGGCCATCCCAGGAGGGAGTCAGTCTGTCTTGGCACCTTCCCGGCTCCCCGGTGTGAATAAAGAGGAAGAAACTGAAAGTAGAGATAAAAAAGAAGGTGAGCCCTCTGTATGTGCACCATCCAGTAAATGCTGCTGGCAGGTTCTTGGTAAATTTCCCTGGGTCTTAGTTTGATGTTGTTGGTAAATTTTCTGTAAACACTAGGAATTCTAACATACCAAGAGCATGTCCTACGTGAACATTTCCTTTGCTCTTGCATAGGTGGTGCCTCCTATATGAAATGTTACGTCTGAGGGGCGACTGGCTGGCTCAGTTGGAAGAGCATGTGGCTCTTGATCTCAGGGTCATGAATTGGAGCCCCACATTGGATGTGGAGATTATTTAAAAATAAATAAATACATAAACTTTGAAATGTTCTATCTGATGCATTTTTTTTAAAGATTTGTTTAAGAGAGAGAGCACACGAGTAGGGGGAGGGGCAGAAGGAGAAGGAGAGAATCGCAAGCAGGCTAATTCCCCACTGAGCTCAGAGCCTGATACGGGCCCCATCTCACCACCCTGAGATCATGACGACCCGAAATCAAGAGTTGGCTGCTTAACTGACCGAGCCACCTAGGCGCCCCATCTGATACATTTCTGTGCCCGTTCTCTGATCCCTAGATTCTCTAAGAGGAACACCTGGACGTCAAAGTAAAAGAAGCGAGAGCGCAGACAGTCTTGGGGGCTTGTCTCCTGCTGAAATTACAGCAATCCAGTGTAAGAACATCCCTGACTGTCTCAATGACAGAACCATTCTGGAGAACCACTTCGGTAAAATTGCTAAAGTGCAGCGTATCTATACCAGGCGCAGCAAAAAGCTTGCAGTGGTGTATTTTTTTGATCATGTGAGTATTTCCAAGAAATTTAACGTGAGTGAAAAAAATTTGAATTTTGTCACTTTAAAACCTGTTTTTTATTTTGTATTTATTTATTTATTTAAAAAATTTATTTACTTGAGAGAGAGAGAATGAGAGACAGAGAGTACAAGAGGGAAGAGGGTCGGAGGGAGAAGCAGACTCCCCGCTGAGCAGGGAGCCCGATATGGGACTTGATCCCCGGACTCCAGGATCATGACCTGAGCCGAAGGCAGCCGCTTAACCAACTGAGCCACCCAGGCGCCCTAAAACCTATTTTTTAATCTATCAGTTATTTGCTAGAATTTGGGCAAGCACTCGAATATCTTATTCTTAACTTAGGCTGGAATAGCACTATTTATTTTGTAACTTGGAGTTATTCATGGAAAGCTTGCAGTGCCTACTGAATCAGTGTTCTAGAAATGCTGGGTGAGTGATTCCATGAGTCAGATTCCTCTGAAAGGCATGGGAGTGGCTCTGTAATCACACAGCACTTTTTCCAAATTGAGTTTTCTTGTTTTATTTGGTCATAGTACATAGTCACTGTAAACATTCAAACAGTACAGACAAAGTAGAGGGCCCTTGTAGTCCCGTTCTCCAGAGATAACTGATGTTACTTGTTCGGTTTATCCACACACACATGCATAACACACTGGTTGGAGGGTGTGTGCATACGGGGGCCATTCACACGATGTAGCTTTATATCTTTATCGTTTTTTCTGAATATTCTTGTGGGGAAAAATAAAGTTCTATAGAATTTGTAAAGTAGAAAGCATGTCATTATACTTTTTTTAAATGATAAAAGGATAGCCTGTTAATGTAGGAGAATAAAACAAATCTATGGGAGGGGTAATATCTTTGCAAGTATGTAGTCATGTTGGTTTTACACAAATGGGGTCACACCGCAGATGCTGTCTGGTAACCTTTCCGGGTAGCAATCTTCAGTATTTTCTGAAATCAATAAATAGCCTAGATTAGAATAAGATTGTTAGGTGCTACATGGCATTCTCTCCTGTTTACCTACTTGGCGGATTTTCTATTTGTGGACATTTTGTGTATGTATTTCTGATTGGCTTATATCCTTTGTTTAAATTCCTGAAGTTCTGTGCCAAAATACATGCATAGCCTTAGGGCTCTGGACGTTTATTCCTTTCTGTTAATTTTTTTTTCAATTCAGTGGCATTAATTACATTCACAATGTTGTACAACCATCACCACTGTCTATTTCCAGAACTTTTTCATCATCCCAAATAGAAACTCTAACCACTAAGCAATATCTTCCAATTTTCTCCTTCCTTCAGCTCTTGGTGACCTCTAATCTACTTTCTGTCTCTATGAATTTGCCTATTCTAGAAGTTATTTTTAAGTGGAATCATATAGTATTTGTCCTGTTTATTTCGGTCAGCATCATGTTTTCAATGTTTGTCCATGTGGTTGTACTTCATTCCTTTTATGGTTGAATAATATTCCATTGTATAGTATAATGTTCCAATATATTACATGTTGTTTATTAATCTGTCAATGGACAGAGGTTATTTCTACTTTTTGGTTATTTTGAATAATACTGCCATGAATGTGGTGTGCAAATATCTCAACACCCTGCTTTTAATTCTGTTGGGTATATACTTAGGAGTGGAATTGCTGGCTCATATGCATTATTTTTTGTTTTTGTTTTTTAAGTTATTTGGCTATTGGGATGTATTTGCACTTCTATCTGAATCCTAAAAAATATTTATGTAATAAATATGTAAATTGTCATTGTAAGCAGTTCATTGATACGTATAATGCTGAGGTTCCCTTATTACCCTCATCTCTCCCGTAACCCAGGAACAAACACCATTACCCAGTATGGTGTGTATTTTTCTAGACATTTTTGTAGGCATGCCTGTAGGTACACTAATAATGTAGTTGGTTTTGTGATAAATTGTATCCCATGTGTATCATTGTCTTCCTTTTGTCTTCAAGTGTGACTTGGCAACCTTTCCATTACTGTTTGTGTAGTCAGATGGTGAGAGTCATCTCACCAAACGCCAACAAGGCCAAGCTATGGGTTCTATCCCAGTAAAGTCATTACTTTCAAAAAGGAGAAGAGCTAATCCACGCCTGT